CATCATACTATCAATTATCCAGGTTTTTAAGGATTTTTTCAAAAAAAAGCATCCTTTTCTAGCGATTTATACACTTTAATTACTTGAAATTGCATTAATCCTTTAAGGGATCAGTGGGACAATTATGTCCCAGTTTTTTGTTTTCTTTTTCTTTTGATTTATAAAAACCATTTATCGAATATTGCTCAAACTTTACTTACATCTTTTAATATAGAGCTCTTTGCCTATTCTCTATGTATAAAACTCAAAAGAGATATTGTCGAGTAAATCTGGTAACTCGTATTGCCTTACAAGAAAATTAATTCTACTTTTTCGAGTATCTTTAATAAAGAATTTTCTATCGAGTTCATTTCTTAGATGTTGTTGTTCTTCTTCTTTGAATTCTTTCATGAATGATGTGGCAGAGATGTCCATGGCAGCGCGGCAACGGCAGATTTTCAGCCGCGACGGACATCTCTATGATGCGGTGAAACAGTTTTATTTCTTCTCTAAACTATGCATATTCAAATTGATTTTAATTCATCCAACAGTCTAATTTTAACAATACAAAAGTTATGTTGTACATCACTTTTTCGAGAACTAATTTACTATAGAGAAAACATTCAAGAATTTTCAAACTTGTTTGCCGTCATGTTTTTCATTTGAAGATGGAAAATTTGAAAAAAAAAGATGATAAGTATCGATTTGATCGATGAATGTGGTTCCGAAGGACTAAATGTGATGCTTCAGTCTCATAACATTGAGTTATGTTTGGCAATCAATCAAAGCTCGTCTTTTTCCTTCATTACTTACCTTCCATCCAAGTTGTACCAAGTTACAGGTTATGTAATTATTCTCTTTACTTGTTTGTATCTCAACATTCAGCACAGTTGTTGCAGAAAGATATAGAAAGATAGAGAAATTCATGTTTTACGTGTCTTTCATTCGAATCTAGTGGAATGGTCGTCTTTAGTTTTATAAATCATAAAATTTGGAGAAGGTAGTAAACAGGTTGATCCATTCTTTCTAGTTGTAATTAAGGTTTTCAGTTTTTCTTAGACTGAAGAGAAATAAACATCCAATTTGTATCATAAAAGAGCATGCTTTTTTAATAGAAATTAACTAACACATTAACACTTATTGCTCTCGTAGCATCTACTCTGTTTTTTTATTGTCAGTGTCTAGAAGAAACAGGACTGATTATTAAACGATATGATATAACTGTTACTAATTCTAGTATTAACAATCGAATGAAACCATAAAAGTCGCTATCTTCTAATCGAAATCAAGTCATTCACGCTGTTCATTTCTTACGTATTGTAAAGTGAATCTCTATTGCGACCAAACGTAAATGTCATCGTAGTTATCATTACAGATAAATCCGATATCTCTCTCTAAAAATCGTAACTGCTGTTTCTTTTAATGCAATGACTTCTTTTTTTTAACAAATAAAGACAATCAAATCCTCATTATATCAATAAGAACTTAGAAAAATAAAAAATCATTCCTTTGTAGATATTATCAATTAAATTGAATGTTTCTTTCCGATCTCATCTTTATCCATGTCGATGACGTCAAAAAAGAACTTTTGTCAATAACAATTCGATCACTAACAGAATGATGTTTATTATCGAAATTTTGTTTGTCAACAAATAAATCTTTCATTACATTTATACGACATAGGAATCCAATATGCTTCTTTCGATCAACGCACCGACGAAACGAATCAATGATACAGTTCATTGAATACTTGATTTTGTTGCGCGATAATGATCTCTGTTTAAATAATAACTTTTAAAAACTAAGGTATCTGAAAGATTTGAGAAAAATGTTCCTTAATCGAAGTATCTTTCGATAGCTTTGATTGGAATGATGATATGAAAACTTCGCACGATTTTTGATTCATTCGTACAATCGATCTCATGCTCAGTAACTGTCACATAATAATTATCTGTTGAGGATCTTTTCAAATGAAATTAAGTACAAGCACATTGATAACAATTTTCAATTCTCCTCATACTTACCCATTTCATCTTCAATAATTCGAATTATCATTCGATCTGAATTATGTGTCTGATACATATCTATTTTGAAAGATCAACTCGTAATATCACATAAATAATATTCAAGAAAGCAGATAGAGACAAAAATACATTTAACTGACAATTGCTAATTATTCTTCATACTACTTGAGAAAAAATAAATTTTAGAACAGATTTTACTTAGACAGATACAAATAAATAAAATCTTATGTGTTATTGAATTTTAGAAATAAATATAAATATAAAACTTTCATTTTTCTTTCGACACAAATAACAGAAAAATAAAGTTAGATACATCTCATTCGCTATTAGAAAGTTTTAGAATTCATATCTATCTATTTTCAAATCAAATAGAATGTTTTTTATTGTTTCATTTAGCTTTAACTTGTTCTTGATAAGATTAATATCAGAAAAATTTTATCATTGTTCTTCTAAGAAGAGAAATTTCATTTTGGGTCTTCGAATGAAGATCATATTTATCTTTGAGGATCTTATGACAATGACAATACATTCTGAATCTAAATATAGACTAAGGATAGATGAAATCCCTCGTACAAATAAATTCATAAATTAGAAATTAGGAATTTATGCGATATGAAGGGTGTGAGTATTTTATTAACTCACGCCCACACTAACACCCACCCACACTTTATCATGATCTCAATTAGATTGCTACATTTTTTTTGGTTGATTTTAATTATACAACAATTATTATCAATGAACATGTTGATTAATCTATTGGAGAATAAATCTCACCAATCAAGTTTATTTCTATACCTCTATTTGTTGGAAATCAAAACTTTTTAATTGAAAATTAAAATTCATCAATAAATATCTAAAATAATCGATTGTTATAATCGCAGTTATAGTTGGTTATTTAAATGTATAAATGTACTGAATGAAGGAAAATAACGAAGGAATTTTATTGGCTATCAATACTTTTCATTGTAAAACAAATTTTCTTTATTTTATAAATTTTCTTTTATAAATACTAACATAGTGAAACACAAGGTCTTAGTTTCTCTATTTTATACCAAATCGTTTTCATGATGGATCAACGGTCGATTCAAGAATCGAATACGCCTTCTAACTACCATTCATATATCATGTAAACGGCTTTGGCAATAAAAAGGCTAAAAACAATGTTTCTAATGAGAATCAGAAATAGAATGCATAGATAAACTACGTTTTTCAGCACATGGTGCTTCTGTACACTTTGTTTTCTAGACCAAAGTGTACAAAATATAAACGAAGCGACTACTGACAGATGGACTACGTATCAATGCCTCTATCTAAGCACTTCGATCGGGCGAAGGGAGCTGAAGGCCTAGCTCCGGAAAATTTGACAAAAGGTTCAATTTTCTGCGCAAGTTTTAAGACGTTTTCGCGAGTTTTTCAAAGTTTAGCGGTAAAATCTACTACAAGCCTAGTTTGCAAGCGGTCTTCGCCTGTTTTTGCCGACAAAAACACCAAATAAAATTACATTCTTCTAACAAAATTTCTCAGAAATAGTGTAGTTTTAGTATGTTCTGTTTGGTATGTGCCAGAAAACCACATGAAGGTAGTTTCTAAAAAGATTTCTGGATTTTCTGCTAAATTTCTAGCCTTCATGTGCCAATAAGCACATATCACACTCTTAAAGATGATCGAGAACCGTGCTTTCATTTATTGTTCTGTTGGACAGTGTACTTAGTCTTGATCACTTCAATAGATAAAACTTTTGTAAACATAGAGGAACAAAAATCTTGCAAAAGCAACGTGTAAAAAGAAAATCCAGCGTGTACAGCTTACACTTTACTTTTTCTTTCAGCGTGTAAAACAGTGTGTAAATTCTGTTTCATTAGGGTACCGTACACTTTGTTTACGCAGGTATACTCTTTCATTAGAAACTATGACTGAGACCAACTTGATGTAATGCCTATTATGATAAGATCGAGACACAAATTCGAATCGTTATTTTTAATTTTACAAAGAAAAAAAATAGAAATGAACAAAATATAAATTCTGAATCCGATAGATGATATAATTTGAAATATCATTTGATCACAGCTCTTTTTTATGAGAGTAGATATAAAGATTATTTTTAAACTTTGGTCTAAAGATCTCTTGAGCACGATGTTTTCTGTTGCTCCTTAAAACTCTTGAACCATATGAAATGATTTTCACAGTGAAATATTGACATCCGAAGACATTTTGCCACATTAGCAGAAAAATAGCAAAAAACCAGGACTTACTAAATTATGTGCTGTTTTGTAATCTAATATGAATAATTATCGATGTTTTAGCATGAAATTGTAACTCAACTCATGCTCGTTTATCGATCAAAACGTGAGCCTATTTCTTCGAGTAACGGAGACTCTAGAGTCTTGACAAGTTCACGATGGTGATCGATGTGCCATTTCCATTAAGTAAAGCATCTGCTTCTGAAGCTTTGAAGAAACAATGGTCATCCATAGGAGAACATCTTCTGAAAATTTCAGATTGATCCACCAAACTGTTGCTGAGTTATTGTCCTCTCAATAGCATTCTACTATTTTTGAATATCCATGGTTTCAATAAAAATGGTCTAGTTCATCAACAACTTGATAGACTTCAATAAAATTTATATGAGAAATAGCTATAATGCAGGAACACAAAATGAGGGATTGGCCGACTCAAAAGATCTTTCGATTCTCGAGTCACGAGATCTACAATGATCGTGGACGCCACTATAATAACAATGTTCTGGCTTGAACAATTTTAGTACTGATGATCTGCATTCTCTATGATCTACCTATAGACTAATTTTGAGACATTTAGGTCTCACGAGGACTAAGATCTGACGCGAGAATACTTTTGGTCAGTAATGTAATATATGAATCGACCAATGACGATTCAATAAATGTAAATAATATTTCTTTACGAATCATCATATAAAACATAAACTTAATTGAAGCTTGAATATTTTTTTTTCAGAATTGCCAATAAGTTACTGTTCATATGGGTGTATTGATCGAGCAAAATAGTGCATTACGTCAACAAAACTCTCATTTATTTGAAGAATTAGATACACTTCGACTTGAAATAGCACAACAACAAATAAATTATGATCAACTTATACAAAAAACTTTATGTAATTTGTCAACTACGAATCATGAATTAGCTAATCAACTCAATCATTGTCAACAAGAATCAAATAATTTACAAAAAGAATATAATCATGTTACACAAACATTAAATAATTTACAAAAAGAATATGATGATATAAAAAAACAATTAAATAATTTACAAAAAGAAAATGATCATATGAAAAAACAATTAAATAATTTACAAAAACAAAATGATCGTGATACAGAAGGAAAATGAACGTTTTAAAAACATTTAATTAAAAAAAAAGAATCATGCATATAATAATGATTAGGTTGTTTCATTCTCATTGTTAATTACTTGTAAACTTTAATTTTGTTTTTCTTATTGATAAATAAACAAGATGTTTCCCATTTCGATCCGATATTTTTAATAGAATATAAAGAAAAAATGTTTTCAATGCATATACAGTTTGTCCGTGTACCTAATCATTTGTCGCCGAACTATTTCAAACAATATTGAAATTAACTTTGTTGAACAACGATTAAAAAGTAAAATAAAATTTGATCTTTTACTGTATCAAAAACAAGATTTGAACTGGCGGCCATCGATTACAAGCCGAGCACAAGTAATTCTGAGCTATATACAGCTCGAAATTAGTTACTTGTTCATAAACGGAAAGACTAAAAATTGTTGAAATACTTATAGTTCTAAGAAAAATAATGTTGATTATTATCACTTTGTATATGAATATCAATAAGTTTTTTCATACAATAAAAATAAACGCATTTCTTATATTTATAAACACTGAATAAAAATAAATAAAAAGTTTCATTATCTCAAAGACGAAGAAAAATTAAAGAATAAATTAACACCTCTTTTTGATAAATAAAAAAATTTGTTTTACAACAAAATAAATAATTTTTTATCGTTAATAACAGAATATATATTGTTATTTAAAGTTGAGAACTCAGCATGAAAATATATGAAAAAGTCTTATCTGTATCTACATATTTATAGCTATGGCATTACAATTTTTGTAGAAGTTTTGAGAAAAAAACAAGATTAGATCTTCATAGAACAAGTCATTCTTTGACTTCGCTTATTTTATTTGTAAATTAAGTATTCGTTTATGTTTTCTTACAACTCAAGAAATTACTTACCTTGATTTTTTAAGATAATGAAGATTTTCTTTTTTTTTATTTATTTTAATCTCACAAAAAAACGCAAAAGTTTCATATGGACTCGTTCTTTATTATGAAGAAGAATAAAGGCAAACTGACATTACCTTTTGAAAAATTACTTTGGCGAAGTTTAGATAAAACCAAATAGTTGAAAATGGAAATAACACTCATCTAAGTTATTTTTGCACACAGGAACAAGATGATGAACTTAACAATAACAGCGTTAAGATCATAGAAGCTCGTTTGCGCATTAATAAACCTTTTTGGAAATGAGGTAGAATAAAGCATATACAGTTTTGTCAGCAGTTCAATATTTTCAGTGAATGATGTACCCGTAAAAAGTGAATATGAAAGAGACACTCATGTCACTTGTATCAATCTTTTTTCTATTTAAAGTACAAAAATATTTAAATTTAAATTTTAAGTTCAAACTAAATGATTGATTTTTCTTTTTTTCTTTTTACTGTGAATGAAATTTTTAATGATACTGAGGTGCCAGTAAATTTTATAGAATCTTTCTAGAAGAATCAATGGGAATTGGAGTAAATGGATTTAAAGAATTGAGATTTTTTTTGCATATGATTATATGCATTTTGTTTCGTCTAATACGTTTGACTCTTTAATCTAAAAATTTTTATATTAAGAAACAAAAAAAAATATTAGACTTTAACACATAAATCTCATATATGTGATAAGTCCGTTCATAAGCAACCCAGATAAATTATTTATTGCGCATGAGCACATCAAAACGCACCGTGACAATAGTGCCTGAATACGCGTTTTGCATTCTGACTGCATTTAGATACTATTTAAAGTTGCTTTTAGTGGCATTCAGACATAGTTCTGTTTCAAGTTGTGTTTAAAAACAACTGTATCATCGGGTTTGAGCTACATCTAGAGTCTTTCGTTTCTACAATTTGTCATCTAGTTGTGTGTTCCTAATAGGTTTACGTGGAAACTAACATTGAACTTCATCTTTCAGTTAAAGTAAACATTTTTGGTTAACTTTTAATCCCTCGAAGATGGGAACCATATATATGTGGTTTGGTTCTAAATCACTTTTTAACTGACTTATGCATATCTTTAATAATATTTTTCTGGTGTCTTTCAGAACACTAGCTATGGGTTTTGGTTGCTCTCATTCTCCCAAATATTTTTTTTCTCTCTCTGGGAGGATGATCCACACATTCCATGAGAATGTTACCTGCCAGCTTCGTCGAGTTTCATTTTTTTCAAAAGTAATCCTATCTTCAAGGGATTATATTTTTTTTGAAATTTAAAATGCTACGTTTAACGTATATGCTATACCAGAGCAAAATTGATTTTGTGACAAATAGTGGTGGTGACATATAAGGAAATAATGTTGTTTTAATACTGTTTTCCAATGAATGTTCTGTAAGTTTCAAACTTGATACGTATTCGCATTTATTTCTACTTCACAGTCTACTAGGTCTTCATGAATTTGTATGATGGATACAAACATGACGAAATTTCTGGTTTGCACTTATTTATTCTTATCTTCTGTCTTTGATGCAACGCTACTCATGACATTTTAAGTTGCAGACTATCAAGAATAGTCGTATTAAGAATTGGAAATCCAATAAGACTTTAATATGTCGTCATAATAATTTGATATATAATTTTCATTTTTTTTTTGAATGAAAAATGAGTAGTTTAGTTTATTGTTCCATACCTACTCACCTATATTTTGATGAATTAGTTTGCATTCTTGATGGCACGCTGTACACTCATGGCTAGAGACGTGTTTACATGCATCTTATTTATACAAAACAAAAAAAAACCTGCATTTAAACGCGTTACTGGAACTCAAAAGCACCCGCTGCATACAAAGAAAGCGGATTCAAATGCAAGAGTAAAAGCAATCGCGTTGGAACGCGTTCAGTTAAATTTAATTTTCAGTTATGAATACATACTGATGCAAAAACGAAATTAATCGAGTTGAAACGCGTGTAAAAACTAATTTGAACCAGTTTTGATGCATTTTAATCGCGAAACGCGTCTACATGCATGTAAAACTTTGCAACGTGTTCAAATACCCATATGGTGAACGCACTCTAGTGTGTTTGGAGACAGTTTCAATTTTGAGACGCGTTTAAACACGTCAAGAATGCGTTTCATGGTTACATGGGGTTAATATATTTATGTATGAAACATTTCATCATATAAATTCGTATGATGTGCTTTCTTTGCACGACAATTCATAAAAGAGTTATTCTTTCTTGGAGCCCATTAACTTTTAAAAGCTTCTGTCAAGTGCTTTACAGTTCAGAAAAGCTTCCCAAGTCTCTCTACATCCGCTTCCTTCGGGGGACTGGTTCAGATGTTTCATAAACTTTTTTCAGTAGTCATATAAGTAGTCTAGAAATGATCTGTCGTGTGCAAGGACTGACGTAATGTAGTCATTCCATTTCCGTAAATTATATACTAGACGATCGCCTGCACAACATATATGTTCGATTTCTTATTTTTGCTTTTCTGTAAAAATGAACCATCATACGAATAATCGAAAAAAAATGAGGTAGTACAACTGCACAGAAAAGTTTTTCTCTAATATAATATTTTTCTATGGAAATCATCTACAAAGTTTTTTTTCTGTGTACTAACTTAAAATTTGACTATGATTACAACGTTCATACCATTTTCCTATATTGGGTAGTAGAGAAATGCGATGAAGTCTGCTATCTTCTGGATATAGATCATCTTTTGAAAGACAAAGAACTTTCGTATGTTTACTATCATTAAATACATCTCCTTTTAATCCACATTTACTAAATAAAGCAGTAAAAATTTTTATACATTCGATTGAAAGGTTTTTAGTAGATATGCAGATGGTTTCATACTATCTAATGAGTTTTTTGAAGAAAATTTTAAAAAAACTAATGCAAAAGAGACGATTAATTCTATCAATACACTGTTTAACTGCTCAGAGAGTGTATTAAAGAATTTGAATCTTTTGGTGGTTGCAAAAAGTCATTTTAAAGCAAAACATGGTGCATTGAATCCTAACAGTATCATTCCTATTTTTCAAAATTTGTCCAAAAATTCAATGTTTGAAGACATTTAAATCTGCATTTGCTCATGACCAATATTGCAATTTAGTACATTTACTATTTTTTCTATCGAAAAATACTATTGAACAGGACAATTGTGGCGAAAATCGAGCAGTAGTGATATGCGAAAGGATGAAGACTTACAGCACCAGAGGGCCACCCTATTCTAGAATCATTATTTCTTTTTCTAAATGTTCGAAGATTTTGCAAGTCGTATATAAAAACATGTTATGGCTTTGCTTTTAGTTGCTATTGCTTCTCGATTGGAATTTGACACGTGCGGCATCATAAGATGTCCGAAAGCGCAGAAATCTATACAGGTTTCCTTGTGTTTATCAACGATTTTAACTCCCATTAATATCAAACATGGCAAAACAAGAAAATTTGGATTTGAAGTATTTAAAAGCATTTTTCAAAAATTTTGACTACCTTTGAGCTAGGGATATCCCAACGTTAAAATTAATCTATCAGTTTCTAGGGAAATAACTATTGGTTCTCCTAGATAACACTCGAGGTCAATCCACAATACAAAAGAATTCACAAAACTAAAGACATTTCAGCAAAAAAAGTATTTTCAAAAGACATCAAACATACAGTGTGAAACACTCGTTTTTATTCGAATAAAAAAAACAATCAGATCCATCAATAGAAAGTTTTTTTTTGTACTTCTTTAATGACTAGAAAAAAAGGCAACCTTTTCCAACAACAAATAAATAAGTATTTTCTGAGTATAAGTTCATACTTATTCAGAAAAACGAAAAATCAAACTGTATAAATAATTAAGAGCCTTTAGGACAACATAAGCAGATATGAATGTGTGAAAAGAAGGGTTCTAACGTTCTACACGATGATTGGAGGCAAAATAAATGGATAGACAATAACTGAAAGTGCAATGATCATATTGATGATTACACTACACCGATGAACCAGACTGAACTGTTTGTTCAAGGTTTTCATTCGATCACTAATATTTGGCTCGTTGTATTGTTTGCCTTCTTCAAGTTCCATCTTGAATCGTTCATTC